AAGCCTTCTGATGATGGTTGATAGAACCTTCGAATCATCTATCATATTCTCAAAATATATTGATTTCGTTTTAGTCATATACTATCTTATAATAACAGAAGATCTTTTAAATCCTAAAAGATAGTAAGGCTTGACAAGAGTTGCTGTTCTTAGTCGAAAAATCTCTTCATTGTCGGAATTTATGGAGAAACGTGTTCCGATTGGCCCCGTCATTCGCTAATGTATAACTGCATACGCGCATACATAACAACCATCCAAACAGACCAATGTGTTCATGTGGCTATGTAACGACTACCAAATAAAAAGAAGTGCATTAACAACAACAACAACGTGAACAACAATATGAGTGCTTCGCACTAATCGAGATGGAGAGATTGGAGTGGAGTAACGTAAAAGAGAAAGATAAACGCATTTTCCGCGTTTATTTAAATTATATTTAAATGATTAATATGTGCAAACTTCAGCAATTTTCACGAGAATTGTAGCAATCGCCCGCGCACAAGGGATGGAGTGAATATATATAATATTATTATGTTTTTATGTATTTAATTGCTCTGGCCATAATACTAGTTGTTTTTCGATATGCACACACATGATTCGTTTTTTATTCGTTCTGTAGCGCTATTGTTGTTTTTATGCGCTCGGAATGTATATGTATAGCAAGTTTTAAACATAGGCGGAATGCATTTAATTTAAACGAGGTGACTAAAAAAATTGCAATCCCTCACTGAATGCTGTGTGTGATATTGCCTAATTTGGAAAAGTTCAATATTTGGGAGAGAGAGATTCGTAACCACGGATGCTGCACACATATTTTTTTTTTTATTCTCCGCGTATATGTGTCTCGTTTCACGCAAAAATAATTTGTCCGAAATGTGGTACAGTCAGCGCAATGGGGAGGAAAAAATGAAAGAGAGTGCGAGATATAAAACGAAGCATACACACAAAAAATATAATTCATCGTCAAGCGTCCACTTTTGATATTGGCCACACGTTCTTTTATGTTAATTAAACAAGCAAACCACCACTCATTTTTCGGATGCAAATTATAAACGCAGCGGTTTCTAGTGGATAGACTTTCAAACAATTCCGGTGCATTTAATAATAGATTTAATCAATTTACATAATTCTATAATCAATTTGTTATTTAAATTAATGGCAAATTTTATCGAAAATTAAAAAAAAAACATTTTTGAGGATGGGAAAAATTCGTTCCAAATTTAATTACTTATGTTTTACCTTTTTCTTTGCAGAAAACAACCTGAGTTGCAAAACAAATCGCAGTATCCAGCACAAAAACATAAAACACACAGACACTCAATAAGAAGATAAGTAACGAAATAAAAATACATTCAGGAAATTATAAAAAAAAACACCCGATAAAAAATTATTGTAAAAATTTTAAAGTTCAGACATAAAAAAAATAAATCCTTTCTGTAAAAAATTCAGATAAAAAAACGCTTTCGAAATATTAAAAGCTATTTGATCAAAAAAATTAGCTCTTTTGGACAAAGTACAAATTAAATAAATTAAACAAAAAAGAACATACACAAATTCTATAAATCATAAATTGTTAACTTCGGTGAAAGAAAAGTTCACTTAACACACACACACACACACACACACACACACACCCGTTTTACGTTGATGCTTCAATTAATACAATTCCTTTACAAGTCCAAACAAAAACCCATCTTCAAATTCCTTCAAAACCTATTTCATAAGTTATTTATTACTATACTAAACTTTTAGATAAAAAATAACAACTTGATTGTTTCTTATTTAGACGGAAATTAGTGATAATTTTATTGAGAATTTTTTTAATTTTTTCTTAGATTTTTATACACACACAAACACACACACACAAATATATATACATTTATACATATATACATATATATTTATACACACACACAAACACATTTATATATACACACACACACATTTTACACACATACACACACACACACACAAATAAACAAAAAAAAAACATCCAAAAAAACCACACACACAAACAAACAAACATAAAAAAAAACCACAAACACAAATTTCTACACATACACATTCAGAAAATAAAAGGTATAACCGAAAAAAAAATCCAAAACACAAACCCAAAACAGAAAAAAAAACAATAAAAATTTTGATCAAACACCAAAGAATGCATTTAGATCCGAAACAAAATCAATATTTTAACCAAGTCGAACCACGTCAAAATTGCAATAAGTTACCGACAAAAAATTCATCAATGTTCAAACACATTGGAACACACACACAAAACAATATCAAATCATAAAATCAAGCCAACACCGCCGATTAATCCACACACACACATAAAAAACAATTAACACAATACAATCCAAAATTCTTTACACTGACACCGGAACAGACAGTTTAGAATACCATTTACCATACAGCTAGCATTTAATGAAAATTATCTATAGTATTAGTCATATAATAACAATAATAATAAAAAGTTCTATCGAGTTAAATATTAGTGAAAAGATACATATAATTGTAATTTATAAGAATATTAACGTCAATAAAGTTAGAAGCAAAGGGCAACATAGTTTAAAGAGTCGTCGACAACTAATAACAATAACAGCAACAACAACAACATCAGTAGTAATAACGCGTAAAATCAAATATTGTCATTGGAAAGGTACCATCAATCACAATACCATCTACTTCGAGACACTAACACGCCCAATCATCTCACTTATTATCAAATAATCTGTATAGAATAAAGTATATATATATATTGGATAGAGAAGGTCAGAGAGGAAGAGAATTGAATTGCATAGGCTACTAGAAAAGAAAAACCACTAATAGGAAAGAAAATCGAACAAAAAAAAAATCAATTCGAATTGATAAATTGTGTAATTAATTGAATCATCTTAAATAATTTAAGCACAAATTATTCATAATCTATTCTTATTCTTATTATTAAGCGAGTATTTAAACGGGAAGGGCAAAAGCAACTCCTGGTTAGAGGTAAAGAGAATATCGAAGGATAGACAGAAACGACGTAGGAAAAATTCAAGAGTGAATAAGCAAAGCATTTGCATTCACACCAGGTATTGAGTACACCAAACAAACATCCACGTGAAGCGATTTCAATATTTCATTTGTATTTTGTGACATCAAAAACCAAATTGAAATTTTCAATTGCAAATACACGTACATTCTTCGTTTTCGTTTTTATTTTTTATTTACATTGAATTAGCCAAAGCAATATTTTCTTAGTTGGACTCATTCTGATCATTTCTTTTTTCTGTTCGGTTCTAATTCGCCAGCATTTCAGATTGGCTTCAATTTATTAAAATAATAGATATCTACATAACGAATATATATCATATTCGTCAATTTAGTCACATTGCCTGTGTCTAAGCAAAACAATTTGGAACGTAAGATTTTCAATCAATTTGTGCTTCTTTGTCGATAAGAGTTTGTCCAATCGAACAGCGAATAACGAGCTCATATACACAAAAAGGAACAAAATAACAAAATACACTCCATTCAAAAGATAAATACAAACACACACGAGCACGTGTCATTCAATATTTTATTGAAAAGACTCAATCCAAACAAAAAATAATTATAATTTCAAAAAACTCAATTTTCACTTTTTGGTAAAAAACAAAACGATTAAATTTTTCATTTAAAAGAAAAAAACATATATTCAGGAAAAGAACACTAATAAAGCAAAGAGAAAAAAACATCTACAAAAATAACGGAAACAAAAAAAGTGATAACGTCTTGGCCTATACATATTTTGAAACTACATTGTGATCCAGAACAAAATAAGAACAACAAAAATTTAAACTAAAAAAGCGCATCCAACAAAACAAACTAATAAAAAAATTAAATCTTTGACATTTATACGACAAACAAAAGATAGTAAATTTTATATTTAAAACAATAATTTAGGTGAACAAAAGAGTTTATAAGTGAAAACCAAAAACAACACATTAAAACAAAAGCAAATATTATTCTCACAAAAACAGAAAGAGAAAGAGAGACAAAGAAAAGAGATATAAATTTATATAAAGAGAGATAAAAAAAAACACAAAGAGAGAGTTAGAGTTTTTGTTCCCGTGACTGTTAAGGCATTTTTAGACAAATTAAAACAGAAATTATATTTACAGGAAATCGAAATCTTTTTTTTCGAACCAAAACCAAAACAAAACACTATTTTTAAGATACAAAAAAAAGCGAGACAAAAACACATTTAATAAGCAAAAGATAAAAGCGTTTCGTATCTTTATAAGAACCAAAGGACTCGTCGTTAAATTTCTTCGTTTTTACTTTCAAGTTTTGTGGCATTAAATTATTTAGCGAAATTAACTTTAAACAGTTAAATTCAAAAGAAAAAGAGAAAGAGAGAGAGGAATACACAAAGATTAGCTTATATTCGAGTCAGTTATTATCGATTTGAAACGGATATACAAAATAAAGTAAAAAAAACACGTTTGTAAAACATAAAACCAAGAAAGAAACACAATATCGTCTATTGAGGTGCCTTATTGTGGCCTTATGCACACCATTTATACTAATCAAGCATCCAAGCATCATTCGTTTCATACATTAAGAGAACAAAAATAACAAACACACTTAAATAAACAGAGATAGAGAGAGAGAGAGAGAGCGCGAGAGTGACGCCGATTTCGAGACAGAGTGAAAAAGAAACAAAATTTACTTATGCTGATCTTGAAGTAAATCAATTCTCGTTATGTTAAGTTATTATGGTTTAAAAAACGTGACACTGGTTAAACTCTTGAACGAATCGAGAAATCGAATTGAATTGAATATATATTAGGAGAAATTCCTTCTGTTTTATTTCTGTTTGGAGGAATTTTTCCGAATTCATTTCAATTAATAAGTCAAACTGAAAATAAGCACACAAACACTTTAGAATATTTTTGACGTGTTAATTTTCTGAAAAAAAAAAACATTTTTTTTTGCTTTTCTTAAGTTAAGATCCATTGTTTCTTGACATTGTCCAATCCCTTCCATACTGACTCTCCCAAATCCTTAAATTAATAAAGTACAATTAATATAAAATACAAAATTAAACACACTTGGTTAAAAAAAGAGAGAACAAAAAAATCTCAAGCTAAAGTACAAATCGATAAAAAAACGCATAAAATGTGAAGTTTCACTTAACCCATAAAAAAAAACAAATCTTTAATAATAAAAAAAACAAGTTGTGCAATTTAAAAGTGTGCTAAACAGATTAAAGTGAAAAGTTTCAAAAACAAAGCAAATTCATTAAATAAATCTACTAAAGAAGTCCAAAGAAAGGAAAAAGAAACGCACGCGAGCCGGTGAAAAACCAAACACAACCCGGAAAAAAAGAAGAACGTCGGTAAAAAGAGGAGAGAGAGAGAGAGAATTGGATGAAAAGAAGCGCGAACGCGGACGCAAGCATAAAGAAATAAATAAATTTTCGCAGAACAAAAGAAAGCCGAAAGTGGTAAATAAAAGGAATATAAAATAATTGTAGCAAAACGATTGGAAGAAGAACGAAAGAGCGAGCGAAAAAGTTTGGGTGAAACGTTTCCTGGACGAAAATACACACCAACGATGACACATCGCTACAGCGAAAACGTCACTGGAGACTATTTAAAACATTTCACAGTAAGTCCATAACACTGGTATGTTCTACGTTCCGCAACTTGTTTCTTTATTTCTTCTTATTTTTTTCTTGTTCGTTCGTTTGTGTTTTTTTTTTTCGTTTTCATTTTTTAGTTCAAAGTTGTAGCTTTATGAAAACACATGACAAAGCAAAGAAAAACTCAAAGAAAACACAGAATTCCATTTATACAAATAACAAAAAAAGAATTTTTTACAAGCTCTTCGTTTATTCAAAGTGACCATGCACACACTGGTTTTGGTGTACACGAATGAGATGGCACAAGTTTGTTGGAAGAAAACATGGTTTAAAGTGTTTTATAGGCAAGTTTCACCACTGACCACTACTGCGCTAAATATTTTTTTTCAACCTCTTTTTTTAAGCTTTACGTACACCCATCAAGTTTATAATCCACTTTTGTTGTCTTCAAAACCTATACATATGTGCATGTGTGACGAAAAGAAAATCGTTTCATAAATTCGGTTTTTTCTTCTTCTTTTGTACGCTTTAACGCAAACTCGTAACACATCTAGAAAAATCATGCAAATAACATTAAATAAAATAGATGACCGCCTCATTTTTGAACACACACGAAAAAACACATTATTCGATTTGTGTGTATGTGCCCATTTTCCATTTTGGACAGCCAATTTTTATGAATAAAAACTTAGTTTTTTTCAAGTCTGGCTTAGAATGGCTCGATTTATGATTATCGACACAGAAGAATGGCTAAAAAATTTGAATTAAATGGGCAACGAGGCGATGATGGTTAGAAAAAAATCGGCGAAAAAAGCATTTTATCCGAAACAAATTTTCTCAAACAAAATCAATGGGATACATAAATTCGAATTGTTATTCTTATTATTATGAGATTTCAAATGGTTAAGTTCGGCATATGTATACAATTGTACTCCTTGTATTTCATGAGCTGAACATTAGCAATCTCAAACGAATTATATACAAAAAAAATAACAGATGTCCATATAATTGATAATCGGCATACATAACACATATATCTATGAACTTTATTTTTAGTTAAGTTGTCACGTCAACTTTGTCATTTCACGTCATTTATGTCAATGTACAGGTTCACATATTTTCTGTCTTCAATTACCCACACTCATGTGAACACATTAAAATACGTATACTAATAATCTCTATTTTGTAGTTTATACCTCTAATATTGGAAAAAAAATTAAAATCACAACTTTTCCATTGAGAATTTTCTTATAATCAAAAATAAAATAGGATCAAATGTGTATTATTAAGATTTGGACATTTTGCAAAATGTAGAACTACATATAGTTTGAATTAGAAAGACACCAATGGTGTGAATGCTCCATAGCGAGTTGAAATATCTTCTCATTTTCTTCGATCCGGAAAGTTGATAAAGAATTGAATAAAAAAAATCATAAGAAACGAATGCGTGTGTATGTGTGTTTACTGGATTTTCCATAATTTTGTCGTTAATAATCAGAGAGCAATTTATGCCAAGAGTATGAGATTGTCTCAGCCTCAATGTCAGATTGGGGAGAGTATGTGCTAGCATGCACATGTATTTTATAAATGAATGTCGGCGTTCCTGTGCCAAAAGTATATAAAACATGAAACGCCGAACAGTATATGAAAGAATGAACGTATGGTAGGTAGAGATAGAGAGTGAGAGACTTTACAAGTGATCGAACGGACTGAATTTTATGGAAAATGCAATCGTTTGGAATATATGGATTCATTATCTCTATATAATCTTTTATGCAGTCGCTTAGCCAAATGCATATGTGTACGGCTTTGGCTAAAAAGAAAATGTCAAGTTTTCTATCTACTCTTTTCTCGATGCGATAAAATTCGCGATCCATTTTGCTGGTTCTCTTTTTTTCCATCTCTGACATCATTCTGCGATTTTAATTATTATTTTAATTAGCGAGTGGAAATTAGAAAATGATAAGTAAAAAAAAATGAAGATTGGTCAACGAACTTAAAATCCAATTGAAGATAAAATAAAAAAAATTAAAACTTGCATAAATCAATAGCATACATGGAAATGGTTGTCAGTACTACCGAAGTTATCGACACTCACTTGATGTCTTAAATGACGATAAAAAATTATATTGACCAAATATCAAATTTGTGACTTTTTTTTTAAATTGACAGTTTGATATGACCGCAACAAAATATCTAACACACATCCGTCAACTCTGTCACACATAATGCATTTAATCAAAACCAAAAGAAATTTCAATTGAGCTGATCAACGCTAATAAATTTTCCGAATAGATTTCGATGTTTCTAAATCGAAACCGACATTCGGAGAAGAGTTGAAAAGCGCGACTGATTCTATGCACGCTTTTTTGTCTAATAAATGTATGAAAAAACTTCAACGACCACGTCATGATGGGGAAAAGAGCATTTCATGTGGCCCGATCATGTTGTTAGTAAATCAAAAACGTGTGCCTGTTTGCGCTTTAGAAAAAACATCGCATCTTACGCGAGGTATGTGTGTGTATGTGCATATATTTGCCCCGATTCGCGAAAGAAGACAAACCATTCTCGCGTCTCGAGAAGCAAGTCATCGCTTAACGCTTAAGAGGGCAAACGAAGGAAAATATTTTGTTGCGGCAATGTGAAAACGAAAATGGCGGGTGGAGGTGGAAAGTGGTGGTGAGCTAGGATGGTGTACATTCACTGAATTGAGTCAAAGCAAATGCAAAAGGCGAATGGCAAAACCGTAGCTTTTCCATCTTACGTAGTCGATGCCGTCAATGTCTCTCGCTTCCCTATATACAAAACTCCTATGAACTTATACCATACACATAGATATATGGCAGTTGCACAGACGGCGATACGATAGGAACGTTATATCCCTTATAAAATGACGCACCACGACGACAACAGCAACAACAACAACAACGACGACGACGACGACGGTGTGCTTAAAAACCAGTTTCATAGAAAAATATCTTACACTTCTTCTTTAAACTAACTATGGAAATAAATTGTAAGGCTTAAGTCGTAGCGTATTCAGTTTGTCTTGAACTTTCGTGGCGAAAAGAAGATGCTACAAATTCTTTGAAGGAACTCATTTATTTTCTTAGTTTTTGCGTGAACATTTTCCTTGTTTTTGCTCAAAGTGGTGGTGCAGGTGAAGCGGACGAGACTTGATGTTTCGAAACGTTTGAATTTTCAGAGAAATTTCAAATCAACGAGTTTTCGGCAAATAAATTCATTTCATGAGTTTTTTTTAAGTACGAACCGCAAATTTCGATCAAATTTTTCTAAATTCAATTAAAATTAAAATCATTTTTTTCGATTATTTTTCTCGTATTTTGTCGTTGTTGATCGTGAGTTTTTTTTATTTGATAATTTTTTTTGGTGGTTATTGTCGTCGAAGAATATAAATTACATTTGATGGATAAATAAAAATTTGCCGAGTTTTGAGATGAGAAATTATTGGTTTTAAATTCAAAAGTGGAGACACATATAAATATGCATATGGATGTGTTGAAGAAATTCGAAATTATGAACGTGTTTTAAATTTCAAACGATTTTCCCGAATGGATACGCATCCAACGAACGTTTATCGCGTGTATGTGTTACGTCTGGCATGTGAATTTAAATGCCGTTAACTTGGAATTTTGTTTACCTGCTGTTTTGAATTTATCATCCCGAACATTTGTTGATAGTCTTTTTGACGACAACAAAATCAGAATCAAATCATTTCAACCAAATTCAATGAGATTTTTATTCGAAATGACATGTGCTCTTCTGTGATTCATCATTTAAATGTTTACATTTTATTTTATTTATTTATTTTTAGACAAAACTTATTCAATCTTATTTTAAATAATACGAAATCTTTGAACGTGCTGCGACAAAATAATGCGTAAAATTACAATGAACACATTCGGTGACGCAAATGGTTAATTAAACATTTTACAAATTATTTGGTGGCAAAAATTTTCGAAAATGAAAATTTCAACGAATTTTGCAGATTATTGATGATTTAAAAAATAAATTGTTAACTTTATGAATTTATCATGTTTGACGAATTTTTTCGAAAAATATACGCATTAATTTCTCCTGGTGTATGATACATTTATGAATTTTATTTATTTAAATAAAAAGAAATTTTGATTTTTATGATTTTTTTCTCGTCTTTTATTTTGTTTTGCACTTGTATTTTATCTGATGGTGATGCTGATATTGAGCAATGGTTTCATGTGTTGTTGAAAATGGAGCACATGTTTGGCCAAAGAAAACCAATTCACAAAACCGATTCATTCAAAATCCGGCTATTTGGTCGAATGTTTTGCCTTAAAATTTGCATGTTTATTATTATTATTATTTTATCACAAAACTCTGAGGAAAAACATATCGAAAACGTGTTGATGATGAGAGAAAGAGCGTCGAGCATTGATAAAAGCATATGACATTGCTACGTCAACATCGTCGATTGACTAATTGTGGTTATGCTAAGAGCTGTAGCTAGGCTCTCTCTCTCTCTCATTCTGGCTCTGAATGTGCATGCTTCTCTCAGCACACTCTATGTCTATGTGATTGTGTGTGGTGTCTTAACTGTCTTTATGATTCTCGATGCGTTCGTAGATGGTGTTCGTTATATGCAGATATTTACAGGCGTTTGCACATTGCATTGCATACTTTAATCAATCACAGTGTTCAAGTAGTTTCGTCGCTTTTACCGGCATTGCAAAATTTCGGCTCCTTTTCACTCCGACATTCGTATCCATCCGTTTGATATGAACGACCAGACAAAATTATGTTATTCAATTTTGTTCACTTAAAGATGACCAAAATGCACAACGAAACGTATGCAATAATACGACCGCTGAGAATATTCATGAGCAAAAAGCGCAAAAAAAAAATCCGAAACAAATGCAACATTTTGAGAGCGAAGAAGGAAATTCAATCTATTAAAATTAAACTCTGATTTTGACTTTTCGACCACATTCAATTAAGAGATGTCCATCTTAGGCGAAATACGATAATTTTCAAAGTACAAATATTTGCATGTGATAGTGATGTGTGCATCTGTTTTCAAGTGAATTTTGGCGACCTGTTTTTAAAAAACGTTCAATAGAAAGTTTCTAATAGAAACTATCCAAGATATCTATTGTCGACGACATGATTACTTCAAACCAGAATGAAATTTTGTCTTCTTTTTTTTAAAGAAAATTCTCCATTTTTGGTTCTAAGCAGCCGGTTAGGCGTTTTGTTTCAAATTTTTAAGTTGAAAATTTATGTTTTCTTGTAATAAACAATATGAGTTTTCTTTGTGCGTGCTGTTTTCGCAACAATGTGTTAAAAGATTTAAATGTCATTTAATTATCTTGAGTTTGTTGTCATCAAAAAAAAGAGAAACGGAACCTTACAAAACTGTCATCTAACATAGTCCATTTTTTTGAACTTTTTCATCATTCATCATTTATATCAATCTGCGGAGCAGAAGAGACCAAAGGATTCTTTAGTGGTTTCCCCAAAATGGAAGGTACCCAATCATAAATAAAATCGTCTAAACATCGATAAACAAAAATTAAATAAATAATTTACAAAAGTAATAAAATATTAATGAAAAGTGAGTGAAAGTAAAGAGCAAAAGCTAAAAACACTGGCCAGAAAATAACGCCGATGGTTTAAAAAGCAAGAATAATTGTAAAACATATTTTTTAAACCAAACAAAAAAATAATAATAATACAGAAACCATCTAAGTTCGGATAGTGTCGATTGAGAAAGCAATAAATGCTAAAATGAAAAATGGTGCTCAAGACTGATAAAGTGCAATAAACGGACTAAATTCTCGAAATCAGCGCTAATTAATTTTAGTAAATTGTGAATTAACAAAAAAAAATTAATTTCGATATTTTACTAATATCGAATGTTCCATAGTGGAATATAATCGATGGATGGACAAGCAAAACAGACAAAGTTGAAAATCGCCCAAATGAAATAAAAAGAACAACAAAAAACAGGCAAATAAATAACCAAAAAAAAACAACAAAAAAAAATAAAAAAAAAACATTCAGCCACAATTATCTCATGATACTACTCATACATTTTTGATTTGAAGCGGATCGTTATGGTGTGTACAAAGCTCAAAACCAAACAATAGAACTGGAGTTAAATTTAAAACTGTGTTTTTTATTAATATGAATACATTTACATTTTCAACACATAAACACTAAATAATATGTTGCAATAGCCACATACAATAAATACACGTAACGTTCCGTGCAATAGTAACTAGATATAAACAATAGGACGGCAATTTTAATCATTTTTTTTAACTAACAAGCCCAGTTAATTTTCGTTTTTTGAGATTTTTGTGTGTGAAACAATAAAAAAATAATTTAAAAAAAATACTCACAATAAAAATATATAAGACCACCGCGGCTTAACTTAGCGGCGGCATCAAATAAACCAACAACAGCTACCAAGCAAACAAACAAAAAAGAAATAAAATAAAATTTTAAAAGAAAGTAATAAAAATAAAACAATCCGGAAAACAGCTCGAATCAAATTAAAATTTATTCCAATGACAACCGATTTTGAGCAGCATCTAAATAATCAAACGGTTGTTTTCAAAATGGATACGGAATTTTTGCAACAAGAAAGCAAACACATTCCGTTGAGTCCATCAACCATATCGTCAAATCATATGTCGTTGCCATCGCAAACCAACACCGATTCGACAACATTAAATAGCCTGGCACACAATGCAAGCAATTGCGAAAACAATTTGGTACATCAGCAACAGCAGATGTGCCAGAATTTATGGTAAGTTTCATTGACCAATTTCGAGACTATATCTGTTAATTTTATGTGTTTCACAATCAATTTGAATATTTGCAAATTTGAATTCGATTTGAGCTAACATTGTGAACGTACAAGTGACAATTTTTCTTACAAGATTCATTGAGCATTTGTTTCATTTCCATTACAGCAATCAACAACAGCAGCAACAATCACAACAACAATCACATCTTGATGGTGTACACAGTAGCAACTCTACTCATAACAGGTGAGTTATATTCAAAAAGGCCAAGCCAATTTGGAATTGGTACATAATTCGTCGACTTTTTCGATTTCGATTGATCAAAAGAAAAATTATCAAAAATTAAAACGTCCTTTAAATAGATGGGTAGCCCATTTTTGTGATATCACATTTATTCAAATGAAATATAACAAAGATTTCCTTATGAAATTGGTGAAATTTCTAAATTTAATTTATATTATTTTGTTGATTATTTGTGTTTGTGTGTGTTTTTTTTTTAAATATGTTTTTCCATTTTTTATTGTGAAGCAGCAGCAACAACAACAACAATAACAACGATGATGACAAAAATAACAATAATAACAATGCAAATGCTGGTCTGAACATGGCAAATGGGTATGATTTGAAAAGGTGAGTCCTTGTGACTCCATTTCATTCCATTCGATAATTCAAAAATTAAAAAGATTAAAGTGAATGTGAAAAAATGTGGGAATTTCTATATTCGCATCACATTAGCTATGAACCTCTATTTCTGAGTTTATTGTTTTTTTTTCTTCATAAAATTTTATTGAAAATGATCTACAGTTTATGCCATGGGAATAGCATTGACATTACACTCAGTAACACGGTTCATGAACTGAATGTTTTAACATCCGTATTGAATTCACAAATGCAACTGGTAGTTCAGCAACAACAACAGCAACAACAGCAGCAACAGCAACAACAGCAACAACAACAGCAGCAGCAGCAACAACAACAGCAGCAGCAGCAACAACAGCAACAACAACAACAACAGGTAAGATAGAGAATGATTGGGGATACCAAAGGTCTAAATCTTTAATAATCAACACATCAATTTCGTCAATTTCAATCTCTATTTCGATCAATTTTGCAAAATGTACATTGTATTATATGCACTACACATTCGTGAAAATTGACCATCAACTCTTTCTCTCTTCCTATCGCTCTCTTGCTCTTGATTTATGTATTTATTAGCAAAATCAGAATATGGGCATGCAACAAAATAATCAACGACAGTCTCCAATAGAAGCAGTGCAGCAACAAAATCAAAAGCTTCTCTCTCAACAACCAATGTCTCCAACAGATAAACAGCAACTGCAGGTAAACATATCGTGTTATACCTATTTCCTATATTGGTTTTAAAGCGTAAAGTAATTTTTATTTGAAAGTTTTTGTTTATTCTTGGCGTCGCGTACATTAATTATCGTTTGTCACATTTTTAAAGAATATGTCAATAAATTCATTTTGATGTATAGTTTTTAGTTGATTTCGATATTCTGTGATAATTTTGATTTTAAAATAAAATAAAATATTTTTTTTTCATTTAAACATTCGATTGATTTTCGTTTTATTTTGATCCCATAGTTTTTATATTTAATTCGATTTTATGAAATCGCTTGTTTTCTGTTTCATTTTCAATTCAATTTCCATAACATTGTGTATTTTTTTTTATCATCGAACAACATTCGGATGATTTACGTTGATTCTAATGTATTTGTCAAAAGCCGTGACAACCATTTATTATTAACGAGACTGGCTTTTAAGTCTGCCAAACAGTTTTTGCACAAAGAACAGTGTTTCAACAGACATAATAATAATATCTTGACAATGTCTGTTACAAAATAAATTGAAAACAAATTGACAATTTATAGGCTATATTTTCATATAATTATAGTGTATGCTCAAAAATCAAATCAAGTTAACGCAAAGTTAGATAAACCCACAATCGAGACCATTGTCGGTTGTCATCGAGTGTCATTCGACAGTTCAAGAAATAAGCTTCGAGTCGTTTAGTGGCAATGAAATATCATTGTTTTGACTGGAAATTAAAGTCTTTTTTTTTGAAACAGTCATGGACATTTTCAACTAGTCTTTAAGTAAATTTTAAATGAGCTCTTTAAAGCGTATTTTGCGATTTTAAAACGATTAATAATTAAGAAAAAAAGGTTAGAATCGATTCCATGTTTATTTTTAAATAAGAAAAAAAAAATCCGGTTCGACTGTTTGAACCATTTTACCATCTCCATTTTATATTTTATAATGAACTTAATTCGAATCTAGTGGAATAAAAACGGCAATAGTTTATTGTTCCCACTGCTGTTGCTGCACCCAAAAACGAAATATGACACATCCATTCGTCCTCATTTCAACCCTAAAATAAAAATAAAAGATATTCAGTTTTTTCTCTCGCTCTTGCTCTGTGTACGTCGACTAAATTTGTGCTGCTTTGTCAATGATTTGGCTATGTTATGTTCACGTATCAAATAAATAACAACTGTACATGGAAATACAAAACGAAAGTAGCACCTTTTGGTAGAGCGTTCATATATAAATACACAATATGTTTCAATATATATTTGTGATCGTCCCAATTTTTTTTTTCATTCTTTCTAATTTCCGTATTGAAATTGTCAATTGCTGGGATATTTTTGTTTCGGTCAGAGTAATTGCCAGAATGTCCTGAGTATCGATCATTGTTTGTTATAATGTGTATACATTCCTTTCGTAGATTATCGTTCTCACCCTCAGAATTGTACGCATTGTTAATGATAATTATATATAAAGATTCGTTTATGTTCCAATCATCGAATCGAACTATTTCTCACCGAAATCATTTCGAACATATACACGAAAAAAACTTATCAATAAAACAATATGAAAGAATACGATACATCACAATTGTGCCTGTACTATGGACGGACGATAGTTGGCGTGTGTTTTTAATTCGATGACTGTCATGTGTGTGTTTTTTTTTCATTCGAGGTTTGTTTTACATAAGCTCTATAGTTTGGATGTTTTCTCCTTTAAAGAGAGCATAAAAATGGTGCTAGAGCAACCCTCAGGCTTTGAAAATACTGAATAAATAAGCAAATAAAAATATTGTATTTCGTAATATAATCGTTCGAAACACTATTTCAGTAGTAAACTACTTTACGGCATTGATATTAGTTGTCTAGTATGTTGCATGAATATGGGGGCAGAAAAAAAACGCGTACATACAACATATACGGAAAATAGCTAACAAGAAGAGACGCTAACATATAACATATGAAAAAAAAGAGAAACGCGTCATGGAAAACACAACGACTTTTCAAAGCGGCACGAACCAAGAAAAAAAGTAACACACACATACGAGAATTAGAGTTGCCTGTAATCACACACATTATCAGACCAAATTAAGGAAACACATCTTGAAAACAATGTGTACATGCCTCTAAAAGCAAATGTGTAAAATAAAATGAATAAATAAAAAAACACACACAGGATGGAAAGGGTGGCATACCCATATAGACACCATCACCATAACCAGAAACAGAAATAGAGTGAGATGGAATCAGAGAAGATATCAAATAAGTTGATAAAAAAGAAAAGTATGGCACTTTTTTCCATTATATTTCAAAATTAATATCTATTCCCTCATGTCAGAGGGAAATGTTACTGGAATTTTTTTTAATATGTATACACCCATAGAGAGATAATAGCGTATACGGTTATATATATATAACATCGGAGAAAAGAGTGTAGATAGCCCAATTTAGACATGCTTTGCCATCAACCCTTTGCCATGACAAAGTTTTCAACTTCATTTTTATCAATCTGTATTTTAAAAAGAATGAAGTGAAAGCGAAAAAAAAAAATACATTCGTTCGTTTGCTTGCCATAACTTTGAAATGAGCAAGTGGAAACAAAGTATGGTGGAATGGAAAAAAGAAAACAATTTGAAACGCAAAAATAAGAAATGGAAAAAGATCAAGAAAACAAAAAATGTTCATTAAATGAATTTTCATTTCTTATCTCATTCAGTACTTTTTGTGGTTGAGACAAAAAAGTATGTACGCCATGAAAAGAGAAGAATAAGAATACACACACACGCCGAGCATTAAAAAAGAATAACCAACCCATGACAGAAGATGGAAAAGTGCAAAAAAAATAACGACAAAGAAAAGAAGAATTACTAAAAAAGAGTATGAATCGTACACACAAGACTGACGTTTTATACAAAACGAGCAAATAAAGTATATAAATTTTTATATCTCGCTTCAGTGAACATGAATAACAGTCAGAGACAAAATGGAATATATATTATACAAGAACATTGGAGCTTCATACATACTCTGTAGCGCGCGCAAAAATGCGTACGTGTATTTTGTGTGTGATGTGTGCATGGAGCGCCAGTGTTTGTTGGAGAGACATTGTGTGTGTGTGTGTTTGTGTCTTTTTACGACTAAAGTATGCGACATGTTAGCACCAAATGGAACGTTAATTGCTCGGCATATGAGCCATAGATAACAAAGAATAACCATCGCCACAGCTTGATGCGTAGACCCCAAGAACGGACTCTACCACTTTTCTTGGCATAGAAAAATTTTCAGAGAAAACAAACGAGAAATTGTGTACGATGTGCAATATGTGCACAATTTTCTGATAACAATTTTTTAATCATATTGTATGGTTCGGAAGAGATATAGAGAAATAGAGGAAAAAAGGGTTTCAATGTATGATACACGTGAGTCCAACTTATGATCAATGCACGAAAATGTAAATGAAGACAGACAGGGGCCAACACAAGACAACACAGTGCACAGCCATTCACTACAAACTATTTACCGTCTCACATGGCTCAAGAAAAATAGAAAAAGATAAACGACACCAAATACCAGCCACTGGAAAACTGACTCACAGTGACTTCAGCTGAAAAGGAAACACATATGAATATAAATTTCAGTACATATTTTATAAATTGTTTCGCAAATCCATTCTTTATTTTTTTTATTGTTGTGCTCATCGTCGAGTCATCTTCTTTTTCATTTCATTGTGTCATGTGATATAATATTATGTATTCAATCTCTTTTTAACCAGAAATTCAAATACACACACACACACACTGGAGACAGAAGAGATTTCACATTATTATTACGCTGGGGTTTCACATGTACTTGTCATAAAAATGTGAAACGAGAGCGAAAAAGAATAAAAAGTGAGGGAGAATTATATTCATTAATTAGAAGAAAGCAGAATAATTTTTTTCTCTTCTTCTTCTGCAATTTTTTATCGCCCTCGCTCTCTCTCTCTCTCTCTCTCTCTCTCTCTATCTACCTCTCTTCTTCACCGTGTGTAATGTGTGTTATACCTTCCACTTCGTTACATGTGTGGATTAAGCCAATATCACTAGATCTAGACCAGAGCCGACACTGACGTTTATGCTACAAATTGGATAAAATACTTCAATGTTCAATGTGAGGCGCATATTTTTCGAATTTTTTTTTCTCAACCGAGTGAGTGAACGCATTGCTACTTACACGGCTATAGGCGTATTTAAAAGTGGCGCTTAAAACAATAGCATGCTTTTACACGCTCACTTCACTTTTATTATCAATGGGAAGGTGGATGCACTCACTCATTTTTAACTATAACATTCATTATTGCACGCTCAAATGCATGCATTCAGAGGGGAAAAAGACGAGTTAAAAAAAAGTAATAACCACACACACACATTTGTATTTATATATGATATTATAAAGAGAGGACAAGAGAAAACTGTGAAAACAAAATAATAAATGAAACATTTTTGCGTCATATCTACCTTGGATGTTTCCGAGTAACAGCGGATGAAATGAGAATGAACAAGCAAAAAAAAAATAGCATACACACAGCACACAGAGAATTTCAGCTAAAGAACTGAACAAATAATGAAATAATAGATTTAATTACGAAACACCAATGAGAAAAGAAAATGAAGAAAACAAGAGAAAGAGAGAAAGCAGCAACATTAGCAAAGTGAAGAAAAAAGTAAGCACACGAACGGAAAAGAATTTGCATGTATCGGCCACTCGGTGTTATGAAGGCGGGACGAGCAATCTGAGTACACCTTGAATAATGCTGATCATGCTCTTGTTCAGGTCTCTTTTTCTCTCTCTCTCTGTCTCTCTTTTATGTGTTTGCACAGTAACTGGCTGAATGTATGAGTGCGAGTTTTTGTATGCGATGATATTTTTTTTCCAATCCAAAGAGTTCTCGCTTTGTTAGTTTTTCTTTTTCGGTCAATATACCGAATATCTACATTATTATACGATAGCCGAGCCAAGACACAGCAAAAAAAA